ATTTTTAATTTTTGTAGGCTTTTTAAAATTATCTATCTAGTTCTTATTTTTTGTGATTTTTTTTTCAAATATAAAAGTATATTTCAAAATTAATGATCAAATAACATCGTTAGTGACGAAAGGACTAACGTTATTGACCGATCAATAGTATTAGAACTGAATTAAAAAAAATTAAAGATGAAAGATATCATTAAGATAAAATCAATAATACAAAAATTTATTTATACACTTATTTTTTTTATATTAACAATTGTCTGAGTCGGTATATTAACTTCGCACGAGTATGTCATTTTCAAAATTGGAACACGCTTCAACAAACAGAAACCGTTATGGGCCTGATCTGGACTGAAGATCTTTTCTTGAGCTTCAAATTTATCTCATCATTTTGGGTCCAAATATTCAGTAATGCGACGCAGCCTGGTGCAAATTAACTAACATAGTAGAAGAGATTGACAAAAGGAACGGTATTTTATTGTGCGTTTCGGTATTCGTCAAAACTCAAACACTGTAGATATAACCTAGTTTCACTGGGTGGTATTTTTTTATAATTTTAAAGCTATTTTTAGTAATTTTATATGCAAGTTTAGCCGAATGTTGCACTTTAATCCTTGATTTTTTTAAAAAAATTGTTTTGATATCAAATTTCATTTGTATTATGTTTTAGTTCTGGCTACGAGAAGAAAAGAAAAACGATAGCAAGAGAAAAAAAGTCACAACAAGACTCATTCGGATCACTTTAACTCTTGATTTTGGTTTTAATTTGATTTTTTTGGAATTAAGAGTTGGTTAATAATAGTTATAAGTCATGAAATGATTGAGAGATAGATTAGAATCCTAAAATATTTTGATTTTTTTAGTTTAATTTGGATTTTTGCATATTTTATGTGTATTAAAATGAGTTTTGAAGTTTAAACAAGTTTATTATTCGTATTTTTTGTAATTTTGAAGCGTTTTTGGATAAAAACAACACTTAATTTGGTTTTAGAGATGTAAAAAACTGAAAAATATGTTTTTTCAACAACCTTTTTTACGAAATTAATTCGTCGAAAATTGTTGATAGACAACACGTCATCCGTTGTATAGTAGGCGGACAACATATCATCCATTTGTTTTCTTTTTTTTTTTTAATAGACCGGTATATACGGGCCTAGTTCTCCAAGCTCAAACGCACGAGCTTACACCCAACTCGATTCGTTTTTTTTATTATATAATTTTGGATGAAGATTGTATAAGATTGATAGTTATTTTTTTAATTTCACACGTAACTTGATGAGAAAGAAATATATATAATATTTTTTCATGATTAAAATGAATATATATTTCAAATTATATTATTCTTATTGTTTAAAATTTATTCCTTTAATTTGTTATTTCTTGTGAAAATTTTCATCCAATTAGATTTTTATTTTCATTTTTATTTATTGACAAATATGATTAATTTTTCTCTATGTATGGATTTTTGAATAAAATTTTAGAATATGATTATTTTTTAAAATACAAATCTATATAATTTATATGGTGAATTCTTAGAATTTTATAGATCACTTTTGAAAAAATTTTGAAGTACACCTTTAACCTTTAGATTACATAATTGCTTTGTACCTAAAAAAAAATTATTTGGTGGCGAACTATGTATGATTAATGTATTTGAATGGGCCAAATTCAAGCATAGACTTACTTCCTCCATTTATCTCCTTCAAATGATTTTAATAACATAAACAAAATTTTCATACATACATATACATACATACATACATACACACACAAACATACATATATATATATATGTGTGTGTGTGTGTGTAGATCAATTTGTTTTTATATGATACACAAAGTCTCCTATCTATATTTAGATTTTTAATTATCTCTTATCTCGTTTTATATTTTTTAAAAAATATTAAATTTGTCTTTTCGATCTAACTTTTTCAATCATAATTTTTTTTATTGAAATACCCTCGATTGAAATGAATAAAAAAACTATAAAGATTTCAAAAATAAAAAACACACACACACACATACAGAGAGAGATATATATATCAATTTGTTTTTATATGATACACAAAGTCTCCCATTTATATTTAGATTTTTAATTGCATCTTATCTCGTTTTTATATTTTTAAAAAATATTAAATCTTTCTTTCCGATCAACTTTTTCAATCATAGTTTTTTTTTTTTTATTGAAATACCCTCATTGAAATGCATGATATATATATATATATATATATATATATATATATATATATATATAGAGAGAGAGAGAGAGAGAGAGAGAGAGAGAGAGAGAGAGAGAGAGAGAGAGAGAGAGAGAGAGAGAGAGAGAGATCAATTTGTTTTTATATGACACACAAAGTCTCCTATCTATATTTAGATTTTTAATTACATCTTATCTCGTTTTTATATTTTTTTAAAATATTAAATCGCCTTTTCGATTAATTTTTTCAATCATAATTTTTTTATTGAAATATCCTCATTGAAATGCATAAATAAAGACTTCAAAAATAAAACATACATGTCATATAACTTTAATTTTTTATTTTAGTAAAGGCATTTTTGCTAAAAAAATTTGTCCATGATCATGAAATTTGATTAAAAAGATAAACTCGAATATTTCGAAACAATTGAAATTCAATTACAAACCTAAAGATATATGAGACTTTGGATATTATATAAGAATAAATTGATCTATTTACACTTTAATCAAAAAATTAAAAGTATTTTCAAATAAGTTTTCTCAAATTTTTACAAAATAAGTTTTTAGTTAAAAATCCATGGATTTTTAATTTTTTTGATTATTACAAATTTTTAGTTAAGAATTTGGATAAAGAAGAATAATTTATGTTTTTTTAGTAAAAAAAATATTATGAAAAAATAAGGAATAATTACAAAATTTTGATTAAAAAACCATAAAATTGAATAATTTTTTTTTATTTTTAATTTGATATATTTTAATAGAACCACAATATGGCATGAACCATTAAACTGAAATAATTTTAAATATTATTTTCGTGTTAACTATAAAGTTTTCTCGAGTTAGTTTTCATTATTAAGATCGAACTTTAAACAAGTTATTCATACCTAAATTAATCCATCAAAAATAAAACATTTCTCGATGCATCTTAGCTATTTTTACCAAAACATACATGATATAAATATTGATCATGTGTTAATAAAAAAAAAAAAAAAAGGATAACGGTGATTGTTATGTTGTGCACTTCTGAAATGAGATAATTATATATATGTTCGGAATATTTTCAATTTTACTTTAAACATATTTTTAGTTTTTGATATGTTTAATTAAATCTTTTCAATATTTGGTTATGGATTCCTTCCAACTATTATTTTTTATTGTAAAGAGTTTAACTTTTTTTGTTAAGAATTCTAACAAAAAGCTCTAATTAGGAAATCAAAATTATTTAAAAATAAAATTGAGACGAAAATATATTTGGGGTCGAAATTGACACTCATCCAGAAATGAAAGATTTTTTTAGGTTTGACCGAAAAGATTTTGCATAATAGAAATTACTCTCTCAAATATCTTCATTTTTTCGTTTTTTTTTTACCTTTTTTTTACTGCTTCTTTTCTTTATTTATATTGATGCCAAATTTTTTTAAAAAATGTATCAAATCAATGCTTGATTTTTTTTTAAAATCGTCTAAAACGATTAGTTTTAATCAACCAATATACAATTGATAAAAAAAATTGAAATAAAAGACTTCAATTTTAAAGGATTAATAGCCTTACTTGTCGTAGTGGTCTAAATTTCTAATATGTTTTTATGTTCTAAAATTACATAATTATGTCTTTATTATTTAATTAAATTTCCAAGCTATTATTCTGATCAATCCTTTTTAAAATGTCATATAACCTAGACGTTATTTTGTTTAACAAAAATGCCTTATCAGCTTAACTTGTTAAGTTTGCAATTTATCCTTATATAATAAGTTTGAACTCAAATTTGCCTTCAATGTCTTGTGCCCTTCTATAATTATGTAATTAAAAAACTACAAAATTATAATTTAAATTATTATTAATTAGTTTTTTTAGCATGTAATTAAAAAAATAATTATGTAATTAAAAATTACATAATTATAATTTAAATGATTGTTAATTAGCCTCTCAGCATGCAATTAAAAAATAAATAATTTCATGCTTTATAGACTAATTACTAATCATTTAAATTATAATTATGTAGTTTTTAAAATCCAATTAGTGGTATTTATATCATTTAATCATTCTCGCAAGCAATTTATATGGTTTTTTTTTATAGAGATTATTTAATATATTATTTAATATATTTCAATTTGTTTTATATTATACATAAATAAATTATTATAAGGAAAATAATATAATGAACTCTTTAACATTAAAACTATGTAAAATAATAATTTCTTTAATATTTACACACTAACATGTTTTAATTATTTTTATATATTTTTAACTAATAAAAAATTTACCATAATGTGATATATTATTAAGAAAATTATTAACAATTGACTCTATAGCATTAATAACAGATTGAAGACTCAATCTATTATATAAGAACAAATTAACATGTTAAGATAAGATGAACATTTTTGTCAAAAACAATTATATGCAAATCATGTGATATTTTTAAATAGTTTGACCAGAAAAATAAACTAAAAAAAAAGATTTTAAACTTCCTTAAATAATAAATATATAATTAACTTATTTAAAAATATAAAAACAAACTAAAAACCAGAACATTGTAGATTAGAACATTAACCCACAAATAAAATCGCTCCTACATAATTTTCTCATAAATTATAACGGCCCAAGGCCCAAAACAATCAAACATTCTTTTATTACGATACACGTGTTAGCTCTGAAGGAAGCTTCTACATTTTCTAGCAAAAAAACTGCGCATAGCTGCTATGCTGATGACATCACCGCACCAACAACTATGACGTTCTCACTTTTCTCGCAACTCTAAAAATCCCAAAACAATCCGAATTCGTTGCTCCTCTTCACCACAACCACTAATGGACCCGCAACCAAAATGCGTTACCGTCTGCGGCGGCGGTGTAATTGGAGTTTGCACGGCGTATTTCCTAGCTAAGAAGGGCGCGGCCGTCAAACTAATCGAGAAATCCTCTGTCGCATGCGCCGCATCAGGAAAAGCCGGAGGATTCCTCGCGTTAGACTGGTGCGACGGCGGGCCCCTATCTTCTCTCGCTCGCGCCAGCTTCAATCTCCACCGGTCACTTGCTGAAGAGCTCAACGGAACTGAATCCTACGGTTACCGTCCACTCACTACTCTAAGCCTCACGATCACCGAATCAGGAAAGCAAAGTCAATCCTCACGTGATACAGATGTGCCTGCGTGGGTTGATGGGCCAAGCCGTGGCCCGAGAACCATTGGGTCAACAGAAACAACGGCCCAAGTCCACCCACAGTTGTTCACGGAAACCCTATTATCAAAAGCGGTGGAGAATTATGGAGTGGAAGTGGTTATAGGAAAAGTGGATAGAGTCGGGGCTGACGGGGGGCGAGTTGACTCAGTGGTTCTTGAAGGGGGCGAGTAATTGAGTCGGACTCGGTGGTTTTGGCACTCGGGCCATGGTCTGGGAAGTTCGAGATGTTGAGGTCTTTGTTTAGAGTTTATGGGGTTAGAGCCCATAGTATTGTTTTGGAGCCTAAAGAACCTGATGCAATAACACCTCATGCTCTTTTTTTGAGTTATTATCCGGCCCAAGGTGGCAGGCCCATGGACCCTGAAGTGTATCCACGGCCCACAGGTAATTTTTATTTATTTAATGCATTTCAATATTTTGTGATGTTATGTCATCTGAGGGAAGTATAAAGACGTTTTAATGCCTATATTAATTGTTTAAATTTACTAAACTTAGTTATAGTATTTGGTCAAAGAAATAAAATGCTGCTTAATCAAGAGGGATGGCTTAATTGGAAGGAGCTGGTTTCGAGTTCGAGTTTGTGTGCATGTTGAAAACTTTTTGTATAATTGTGTTCGTTTTGCATGTACGACCGGGTAGGGAGTGATTAATCTCTGCCTGTGGAATTAGAATATCTTGGGAATAAAAAAAATGCTGCTTAGTATGTGGGTAAAGGACAAATCTTGGTCTAAATAACCGGTAATGGCTTTATTAGATAAACTTCTTTTATAAACGATTGATAGCTATTGATGTTAACTGGAATGAATATTTTGAATTTTAAAGTTGGACAAATGAAATGGGATTAGGTTTACTTCTTTTTCTTTCTTTTTTTCTTTTTCTTTTTTCTTTTTTTTTGGAAATAATGGCAGTAACTCTTTAGTCAAGTAAGGTTTCAACCTTCAAATGACATGTCAAATCTGGAGATTTAATATAGACGTGCCAAACTCCAACCATGAGGTTGATATTCTGAAAGCAAGATTAAAAAGTTATGTTAAAATGCTAATCAAATAGTGTCTCGAAACCTAATATTAGCAGTAAAGTAATTTGACTTGATTGATAGGTGAGGTTTACTTGTGCGGAATGTCATCGGAGGTTGAGGTGCCAGAGGATCCAGAACAAATAGTGGGCGACCCAGAGTCATTACAGGTGCTAAAGAGAGTAGCCAGGAATGTATCCAGTCATTTGGCAGAGGGAGAGGCACGATTGAAGGCAGAGCAAGCATGCTTCTTGCCATGCACTGATGATAGTATTCCTGTAATTGGGGAGATTCCAGGGGTGAAGGGTTGTTATGTTGCCACTGGGCACAACTGTTGGGGTATTTTAAATGGTCCTGCCACTGGGGCTGCAATGGCTGAGCTTATAGTAGATGGGCAATCTAGCATTGTTGATCTCACTCGGTTTAGTCCTGCCAGATTTGGTGGGCGTAGTAGAAAGGGCTAGCTGGTACTTTGTACAGAAAACTGTGATGAGAGTGTACACATTGTTTCCAAATAAAAAGATCCGTCTTTCTTGGTCTCTTGAGGGAGGGAGAGATGCTTAATAGCCTAGTTTGTTCTGTCTAGTACATGTTTATCTGGAAAGCACAGTTTTTCGCTGTCTTTTTTGAAGGGGAGTCGAGGGCTGAAATGGTTCGATAAAAAAACAACATTTCCCCTAAAAAGCTTAAAGAAATGGGGAGGCTTTATATATATATATATATATATATATCAAAGTTTCCATTTCATTCCATGCTAGACTGCTAGCGTTATTCGCAGTCTCAAACCATTCCACTGTAGTTAATCAAGCTCAGGTTTGGATCCAATTAAAGTACCATCACTAGTAATTAAGGAACAGAACTTAAAACAGAATTAGGTACGGTAACTGAGTGGACGATTTCGCTGCTGTTTTCTTCGGGCACTAAAAGACTCATCAGGCTAAAACATACTTGTAGGTTGATTCTATACATAGTTTGAAATAGGATTGTTACGTAGCAGAACGACTGTTATTTAACAATAACGGCTCCTATTTAACGGTGTTGGACACGTTTGTTACCGTTATTTGCGGTTACAGGGACCTATTGTTGTTTCAAATAAACAGTGGCAAAAACAGTCGCTATCGTTATCATTTTATAACATCGCTATTGCCTTTCTTTAACAGATATTGGCAACTATATTTTTTAAAAAATTAATGTATATTTTGAATATATAATGCATCTTATTATTCTTGTGTGATATTAAATTGTTAAAAATATTATTAATTTTTCTTTAATAAATTCAACTATTGTTGTATAATATCATATGATAACCTCTCAGTGATCGCAAAAATAGAAATGCATATGTGTGGAGTTATCATTTATTTTTTAAAAAGATGAAAAGTAAGAAAAATCTAGTATTGGTCTTAAGAGTTTTAAGTAAGGAGATTGTTTACACAACTAGGAAAGACTACAGTCATTCTAGTGTGATGTCACAATAAGGGTATCTTATATTTCTAGCTTAAGGGAATTCATGAAAATTACTTCTCTATCATGATTTGCATATTTGATTATTTGGGTCTTTTCTCATCGGTTCTAAGAGACGATTTAGGACTTAAAACCCATTGCAAATTAAACTCTAATTCCACACAAAAAAAGTAAAAATGAAAATAAAATGAAAATGGACCATAGGTCCAAATTCACACCGTGAAACTATGAAATAAAAATGATTACAAGTCCATAATAATCTAAAGTATAAACGAGGGACCTCGAGCTTGTATCACCCTATCACATTACTTTAAAATATTAAATTAGACTCAAAGCCCAAATTTAGAGCTAAATCGCAAGAAAAAGAAATTAGTCGTACAAAAAAATAATAATGGAAATTAACTCAAACCACATAAAAATAAAAATAAATAAAATAAAATAAAATAATAGTAAGAAAAAAGCCCATCATTAGAACAAAATTGGTCTCGGGTTCTAAAACTACTCTATCTAGATCGATTTAAACTAGTATCACACAAAATAAACACACAAAGTACAAAGACATGATAAAATTAACATGTAAAAACCACAAATCACATAAGACGACACCATGAAAAATAAAATAGCCAATAGGCTTCCACAATGTTCTTGTCCTATTAATTAAGATTTGACTTAGTTTATTTTTCTAAAAATAATTGCTACCCTATTGCTAGCTTCATCATCGATCGATAGTTTCTCATGAACTTTTTATATAGAAAATAAAAAAATACAATATATCAAACTCTTAAACCCCCTTTTTATTAAAAAAATAATAACAAATAAATAAAGCTAAAATTAAAGATAATAATAAAATAAACTAAAAATCAAAAAACCCTAAATCAATCAAATTAAATTTAAGAACAAAAATATCACAAAAATTTTGAATTTAAATCCCTTTTAAATCTATAAAAAAATTACAAAGTATAACAAGTTTTGATTTTTTTAATTTCACCTTTTTAGTCAAGATGTTTTTAATCTCATAATCATCCAAATTCTATCTTAATCATATAATTGGCTTGAAAATCATATTAATCAATCAAGTAATCATGTAATATACAAAATTTGGATGCTAATTAAATCAAAAAAAGAACATATAAGGGTGTAATTACTAAAATCAAAGTTTTGAGGACCAAATTAGATAAAAGTTTCCATTGATGATGAAACTTTGGACGACGAGAGTGGCCTCTTCGGTGATCGAAATCGAGTTACTCGTTATGAGATTGGAACCGTTGCGTATAGACGCTATTATGACTACTTGTTTTTGGTCTTTTTTTTGGTCGCTTAGGTTTTTCTTTTTAGGTGACGGTATCTTTTTCCCTCATTTTTTTTGTGTAATAAGATATTTATTGGGATGTATTTAGGGTTAGTTTAGGAAATTTTTTAAATTTTGATTTGGTCCGATTGCACGATTGAGTCGTCCAATCTTTTTTTTTCCTTCTTTTTTCTTTTTTTTTTTCTAATTTTTTCATTTTTATTGTTTTTTTTTTTAAATTTTAGTGGGATAAATATAAAGTGATGATAGTTGTCTTATCTTTACAATGCTTTTATGTCAAGCATGTGGGAAGAAATATCTTCGTACATCTTGATTTAGCAAGTTTATAAAGAAGAAATATGATTAAAAAGAGACAAATTGATCGACTATTACGAGGTGATCTCTCGATAAATGGTTCACTATAACAGAGTGACCTCGTAATAAATGGTTTACTATAACGGGGTGATCTCTTGGCAAATTGTTGATTATTACTAGGTGATCTCCTAGTAAGTGGTTCACAAAGACAGGGATGGCCTCCTAGCAATGGGTTCACTATCACAAGGTGACCTCCTAGTAAATGATTCACTAAGATAGGATGACCTCCTACTAAGTAGCTCATTAAGACAGGGGTGACCTCTTGGCGGATGGTTCACTAAGACGGGGTGACCTCTTGACAAATAGTTCATTTAAATAGGATGACCTCCTAGCAATTGGTTCACTAGGACAAAGTAACCTCTTGGCAAATGGTTTGCTATTATAAGATGACCTCTTAGTAACTAGTTCACTATGATAGGATGACCTCTTGTAGTTAATTCACTATTATAGGGTGACCTCCTAGCAACCGGTTCACTATGATAGGATGACTTACTACAACTAGTTCACTATAACGGGGTGACTTCTTAGCAAATAGTTTATTACTACAAGGTGATCTCTTAGTAAGTAGTTTACTAAGACAGGATGACCTTCTAGCAACGAGTTCATTGCCATAAGGTGACCTCTTAACAAATGATTCAATATTACGGGATGACCTCCTAACAAATGATTCACTAAGATAAAGTGACTTCTTGGCAAATACTTTAGTAAGACGGGGTGACTTTCCGGCAAATGGTTTACTAAGACATGGTGACCTTTTGACAAATATTTCACTTAAATAGGATGACCTCCCGACAATTGGTTTACTAAGATAGGGTGACCTCTTAGCAAATGGTTTGCTATTATAAGATGACCTCCTAGCAATCGATTCACTATGATAAGATGACCTCTTGAAAATTAATCTGCTATTATAGGATGACCTTGTAGAAACCGGTTTGCTATGATAGGATGACCTCCTAGCAATAAATTCACTATTATAAGTTGACCTTTTAGCAAGCTGGTTCACTATAATGGGATGAACTTCTAACAACTAGTTCACTAAGATAGAGTGACCTCTTAGCAAAGAGTTCAATATTATAAGATGACCTCTCGGTAACTAGTTCACTATGACAAATTAACCTCTACACAACCGGTTCACTATTACGGGGTGACCTCCCGACAAGCTGGTTCATTAAGACATGGTGACCTCCTAGTAAATGGTTTATTAAGACAGTTTGACCTTTTGACAAATGGTTCACTATTATAAGATGAACACCTATAAATTTTAGAATTTGGTAATCTTGAGTAGGTGATCACCTTTTTTTTTTTTTTTTTTGAAACTAGTCATCTTGACTAGGTGACCACTTGAATAATTTTTAAATTTGGTCATCTCGACGGGATAACTACTCGAATATTTTTTGAAATTTTATCATTTTGACAAGGTGACCACCCGAATGTTTTTGAAATTTGGTCATCTTGATAGGATGACCACCTTAATATTTTTTAAAATTTGGTTATCCCGACATAATGAGCACTTGAATGTTTTTTAAAATTGGTCATCTAGACAAGATAATCACGTGAATGTTTTTTAAATTTGATCATCTCGATAGGGTGACCAATTAAATATTTTTTGAAATTTGGGTTATGATAAATAACCTTGAAAGGAAAGGTTAGTTCATTCTTATGCTCGAGTTCTTTTTATTTGTGATAGTGATAGATTGTGAGTTTTGTAAGGGTAGTACCTTCAAAAAAGTCTAGGTCGCACCTTATGAAACACAACTCCTCATCTTGAATTTGGAGAACCCGTTCAAATCTTGTGTCCGGACTACAAATGTGTCCAGCCATTTGACGAGAGGAAGAGGCATGATTAAAGGCGGAGTAAGCATGCTTCTTGCCATGCACTAATGATAGTATTCCCGTAATTAGGGAGGTTCCGGGGGTGAAGGGTTGTTATGTTGCCATTGGGCACAATTGTTGGGGTATTTTAAATGGTCATGCCACTGGGGCTGCAATGGTCGAGCTTATAGTAGATGGACAATCTAGCATTATTGATCTCACTTGGTTTAGTACTCGCCGGATTTGATGGGCGTAGTAGAAAGGGCTAATTGGTACTTTGTATAAAAAATTATGATGAGAGTGTACACATTGTTTCTAAATAAAAAAGATCCATCTTTCTTGGTCTCTTGAGGGAGGGAGAGATGCTCAATAACCTAGTTTGTTCTATCCGGTACATGTTTATTTGGAAAACATAGTTTTTTTTTAGGCCTTTTTTTAAGAGGAGTCGAGGCTCGAAATGGTTCAATAAAAAAGAAAATTATAATTACAAAAAAAAAAAGAAAAAAAAACTAAAACAAAACGAGAAAG